ACAATATTGTACCCAGACCTTTTTGTATAGTAAAAAGTAATCACTATTGACCTCAGAATATCTCCTAACATCAAGTGCACATGGCTTCAAAATGGCCTCAAAATGCCCACGATATTAGTCAGATTAAAAAAAAAAATCGAGGGGCTTACAGCTCCCCCAAAACCCACCAACTGGGTGGGCTCACTATGCTCGCCACATTTTTCCACACACAACTTCTTGGAATGGACCCTCCACTTTTGATATTCCCGAATCCACCACTGTGATATATATATATATATATATATATATATATATATATATATATATATATATATATATATATATATATATATATATATATATATATATATATATATATATATACATATATATATATATATATATATATATATATATATATATTCATAGTTTGTTGGGGGCCCCAGTGCATCTGCACTATATGCGCTTCCAACTACAGGTGACCAGGCCGAGGGAAGATCAGTGACCTGTACTTTTTACGGTCACGTCTTAGTCACCCACTGTTGGCAAGTTCTGGCTCCTGAATATCCGAACCTGCTCGCTGCTCCAGTGCTGGCCAGGTCCTGAAAGCGCTCACATTCGGTGCCGTCACGACACTCTCTGACAAACTGTTCAACGAATATGTAAAGTACTTGAGAGTATTATCAGAGATGCCGCGATGGAACATCTACTACGAAACAACCTTGTAAAGGATTGCCAACACGGTTTGATGCCGGGGCGCTCCTGTGTAACATAATTGCTCAAGGTATTGGACATTTGGACACATATTCTGGAACGGGTTGGTAATATCAACAATATATACCTAGATTTTCCCAGGGCTTTCGACAGTGTACCCCAATTCGGGGAAATGTCTTAGCGTGGATAGAAGACGTTCTACATGACCGCAAGCAGTGTGTGGTGATTAATAGCACGAAATCATCATCTGTACCTGTCACAAGCGGGGTACCATAGGGCAGTGTATTGGGCACCGCTGTTGTTTGTTTGTTTCATAAATGACATGCCTGACGTTGTACACTCCTCCATACATATGTTTGGCGATGACGCCATATTATTTCGGGAAATCAAGAACCAAGCGGACTGTGAAGAGCTGCAGAAGGATCCCTGTGAGCTCTAAGAATGGTCGAAGAAATGACTGCTGAGATTCAATGTCACGAAGTGTAAGCGGATGCATCTGGGGCGTACCAAAGGTAAGGAGGCGTATCATATGTCCCAACGGGATGAAGAAACCGCACTATTTGAGACTGAATGTGAGAAGAACCTAGGTGTGTATGTTGACAATGAGCTGAAGTTCTCGGGCCATTGCGAGAAGGTAAATCAGGCAAATAAATTATTAGGTGAAGCGCTTCCCCATCTGGAGTACTGTCACCCCGTCTGGTCCCCGAGATATGCTAGACTGGTGCCTGCACTTCGGCACCTCAACTACCCTGAGAGATTGGAGCGCCTGAACTTGCCTAGCTTATACTACAGACGGGCAAGGGGTGACCTAATTGAGGTGTATAAGCATCTCAAGGGGCACTACTCAGTCGAGTGTTGTAGTGGATTTCTCCCCTACAAACGCTGTTTGTCGCTGAGTAGCCGACCCCGCGAATTCCCCAGTGTATGCCTCGTGGTCTAGGTCAACCAGCGCCGCTTACATGATGGAGGTCAACTACTAAGCCACGCCTACCTCCGCTATTTAAGACCTGACCTCGTGGTGCTCTCTCTTCTTCTAGCAACAGCCGCAGCAAGCTACACCACCTCCTCCGCCACTGCCTGGCGGCCCTCGCTCCCGCCGGCGAGCATGGCGACCCACAAGCTGGTCCTCCCTCTGAGCACCCTCACCAACCAGCTCTCTCTACATCACTCTTGTAACCATGCTGCCTTCCCAGCACCAAGCTGCATTGTACATCCAATACAACATGTATACAGAGAGCACATTGTGAGTTTCCTTTCTCCATCCCATCCCGAGTGTGAACCCAAACATCCCATACCCCACAGTGTTGTAGTGGAATTCTCCCCTACAAACGCTGTTTGTCGCTGCCTAGCCGACCCCACCAATTCCCCAGTGTATGCCTCGTGGTCTAAGTCAACCAGCGCCGCCATACACCACGGAGCGGGGGTCAACTGCTATGCCACGCCTACCCCCGCTATTTAAGACCTGACCTCGTGGTGATCTGCCTCTCTTTCTACCTACAGCCGCAGCCAGCAACACCTCCGCCTGCCTGGCATACCTCCTCCTCCGCCTGCCTGGCGGTCCTCTCTCCCGCTGGCGAGCATGGCGAACCACAAGCTGTCCTTCTCTGAGCACTCTCACCAACCAGCTCTCTCTACATCACGCTTGTAACCACGCTGCCTTCCCAGCACCAAGCTGCATTGTACATCCAATACAACATGTATATAGAGAGCACATTGTGAGTTTCCTTTCTCCATCCAATCCTGAGTGTGAACCAAACATCCTGAACCCCACAAATGGTGACTCCCGGAGATTCGCACTCACACAGGATGGAGGAGAAACTGATCACTCTCCCAGTCTTCAAGCAACATGGAAGACTGGCTTATCCACACACAAGCAGCTATCATCGGCTCTACAGCTACTGTCTCTACACCGCAGGTTAGACACCCTAGAGCAGCTCTGCTACTCTAAGCAGACACCAGCTCCTCTTCCTGCCCCAAGCACCACGTCCTACCGACCCCAGCACACCCGTCCTGCCTCAGACGCCGACCCCGGCCCAGCAGTAACCCCTGCCGCCCCTGATGCGGCCTCTGTTCCTGAGTGCGGACCCACACACCCCTCTTTTCTCCCTCAGGTACTCCCTGCTAATGTCCTGCACCCTGCTGCTGTCGTGGACCCAGCTGCTGTCACGAGCCCTCATCCGCTGCTGCTGACACAGCCCCTGCTCCTGACCCAGGTCCACACACCCCAGCAGGCGCATCTGTCGACTCTGTACCTGCCGTGAGGGAAGCACAACATTCATCGCCTCCACACACCCTTATTCTCCCTCTCTACTCCCACAGATATTGTGTATCTAGACAGTTGTATCCAGCGACCGGCTCATCACGCCATCGCCGTTGTCTCACATGAGGCACGCACCGCCCGTTCTGCCTCACATGTGCTATGCAACCCTGCAGACAACAAGTCTCCTACACCGCCTGGAGGGAAGGGGGAGTATTGTAGTGGAATTCTCCCCTACAAACGCTGTTTGTCGCTGCCTAGCCGACCCCACCAATTCCCCAGTGTATGCCTCGTGGTCTAGGTCAACCAGCGCCGCCATACACCACGGAGCGGGGGTCAACTGCTATGCCACGCCTACCCCCGCTATTTAAGACCTGACCTCGTGGTGATCTGCCTCTCTTTCTACCTACAGCCGCAGCCAGCAACACCTCCGCCTGCCTGGCATACCTCCTCCTCCGCCTGCCTGGCGGTCCTCTCTCCCGCTGGCGAGCATGGCGAACCACAAGCTGTCCTTCTCTGAGCACTCTCACCAACCAGCTCTCTCTACATCACGCTTGTAACCACGCTGCCTTCCCAGCACCAAGCTGCATTGTACATCCAATACAACATGTATATAGAGAGCACATTGTGAGTTTCCTTTCTCCATTCCATCCTGAGTGAACACCAAACAAAAGCATACCCCACAGTGTCCTTACTTGGAACTGGCGGACGCTCGCCCCAAATGGGGTCACAGCTCAAGATTGAAGAAGCCGCAAGTCCAGAAAACTGTGAGGGCAAACTTTTTCGGAGTGAAGGTTGTAAACTCTTGGAACAATCTACCAGAGAGTGTTGTGACGGCACCGAGTGTGAGCTCTTTCAAGATAAGACTTGACCTACACTGGAGCGGGTTCAGGTACATTCAGGAGCCGGTGCATGCCCAGTATTTGCCAACAGTGCGTGACAGAGACATGACCGATCGCCCGGGCGGCTAGCGAGCCGATCTTTGGGTGAAAAAGATAAATGAAAAGGAAAAGTAATCAGAGACGTGACCGATTGCCCAAGCGGCTAACAAGCCGATCAGTGGCGAAGAGGATAAAAGTAAAAGTAAAATATGAGGATATTATCATATTCCAATTATATTACAGCTATAATCTTTTTTTTTTGTAAGGTGGCTAATGGCCAGGCTTTAAAGTTACCCAATGTATTGTTAGCCTTCACTATAAACGTATATGAAAGTATTTACGTCAACATTGAAATTAACAATTTTAGCTGGTAACAGGACGATGCTCAAAATTACATATTGGGTGTAAGTTAAAAACGTGTTGCTGAGATATATGGCAAGTCCCAAGAGGGCTCTCAATGATTTTCATACTTCTAGATTATCCTGTTAAAGTATAAAATTTCGTTGTAGAGCGTGTTGTTTCATAAATAGCATTTTGATAACTTGTTTTATCTGTTGATTATATTTATTACACAGTACTAGATTCGTTGATGTGCCATGCAAAAAAAATCAAGTGACCACTCATCTATTGTATAAACGAGTACACATAAAACGGTCACTATTGTGTTGTCGTACTAATGGTAGTCACATCGTAATAATTCCAATTTTTGTTCTTATTTGATGGTCCCCAAAATACTGTTTTTGTTCCTTGCTACAAACACTAACTATTCTAAGCCTCTGTGTTTCGACAACCGTTGCTCGGTAATGTCATCACTGTTATGCTGAATAGGATGCCATAGTAAGTGGAAGAAAATGTCAAGTTTAGTAAATTATTTATGTGGGCGTGTGTATGAGGTGCACGACGAAGCTCATCCATCCATCGTCTGCTGGTGAATAACAACAACAGCGTTGGGACTGTTCCTATAATGTATCTTTACCCTCGTAAGCCTTGTGTCATATGTTCCCATTGATACATTTATTTTATCATGAATTAAAGGTTTTAGAAATTTACAAGTTGCACTCTAATTTGAGTTTAAATGAGGAAAATAATTTTAATAGACCAAATAAATACTATGTATGTTCTTTTTATAAATATATCGTGATCGGAGTTAGGTTTAGGATTCTGACCAATCAGAGAGCGCGGAGCTGTGAGAGCCTGTGAGAAAGGAAGATGGCTGCCTCGGATGAAGAGGGCGGTCAAAGTGATAATAAAAATGACGATTCTGCCACACACGAGACGAGCAAGCAATTTTCCACAATTCACCAAGTAAGTTGGGTCTTCGAAGAATAATAAAAAAAATATTCTTGGATCATATAACCAATGAATCGGGAAATAATCGAAAGTGTAATTATTGTTGACAGATAGAAAATTTCCTTGTTTTCGGTGGAAATTCAGTTGAGTTTTACTGTATTTTCGCCTTAGTTTCAATTCAAGGATGGAGTTTAATTTCGTCATAAAGTCTTGTGAGAACCGAATAATAAAAAATACCAAGTGAATAGAAAATATGAGTGCAGTGTAAGGAAAAAGGAACGTTGTTTATCGCTGAGTGGAAACGAGCTGAGTGCCAGTCCCTGAGGCCCTGATGATTGTCACGTAGTCTCCTCAATTAAAATATATTCAGGTGTTAGTAAAGCGTGTGTGATTTAAGAGGAGTGTTGATTTCTACCTGACTCAGTTGTTAGTATCGCACGAGAATGATACAAGAGTTAGCCATGAACATTAAGGTAAGACTAATTGCTAATTCTGATCCTGTGGTATGTTGTTTTGGTAATGCTGGAAAATGATGCAGTTTTATCAGCCACAGTGAAGAGGATCTAGGAAATGTTTCACTGGTCACTGTAAATGTTTAATGTTGTGGTGTGTGAGTTAGGTAGTTGTTGTTAAAGTATTGGGATATATGTTTAGTGATTGTCATTTCTTGTTAGATAGCTATGGTCAGGGTTATATTGTTGGAGCTCAATCAATCAAGTTTTGATTTTCTAGATGGAATTGTTAGGTTCTCATACTTTTGGACCACATATAAATCTTAGGATTTTTATCTTTATTATGGGTTGTGTCGACAATTCTAAGACACTTCTATGACGTTTCACTCTCAAATGACTTATATATGCCATTAGCCGTGACCGGCTAAGTTTCTACTAATGCTATTTTACGGTGAGTGCGCTCCGAGTGGCTAAGTACTTTTTGTTTATAATACGGGGTCCGCCCCCTGGCTAGGAAGTTAGGTAAGGTTGGGTAGGTTTCTTTGGTTGGTTAAGTTAGGTTCTTGTAAATGTCGCCTCTTTTATAATGCTTAGTTTCCATGCACAACAGAAATATGGTTAGGTATGTTTATAGGTACACAACAATCAACTCCTTGTGAAATAAATGCCAAATGCCACTAGTCACAATAAAATATAGTTCTCGCATTGTTCGCCAGTAATGGACGATTAGCCAACTAGAGTGCACTCACGATAAAATAGTGTTAGTAGGAACTTAGCCAGTCATGGCAAAATAGCCACTGCCAAATATTTACCCTCTGTATAAGGTGCTGGGTGCTAGTCTTGGCTATATGCTTGGCATCATGTATACACCTGTAAGGCTAATACATCTGGGATCGTGTACAAAGTTGTACAGTAGTCATTCGTTACTGTGTACATGTGTCTTATCATTTTGCAATTGTCATATACAGTACAAGTATATATATATATAAATATTGTATTGTACATACTTACAAAGTTACTTACTGGCACCGCTTGAGATTCATGTTTCTATATTACTGATGACATGGCATTTAAATTTTGTGTTACGGTAATACAGTAGCTACTCTAGATATCGGACTCATGCGAACGAGTAATTTTTGGGAACTTTGCTATGGAAGAAAACATCTGTTTTACTTCCCAATTAGAAAGAAATGGGTGAAGAAATTGCATATTTCCTACTTTTGATTTTCTGATGTTTTGATTCTCAAGGCGCTTCTACATAATGTGGGATGCTATCAGTGAAGCCGCCATTACTTATTTATGTCCAAATCAAGAGATACTATATGGCATTGCCTCGACATTAATGCTTCTGTTAAAAAAAAAAAAATGGCATTAGCTTATTTTGATTGTAAAGTAATAATAATGTGAACCCTCTTGCTACCAGGCTGAGAGATGAATTTTCCAACTGTTTTATCACCCAATGAATTATCAGTAGTATACAGGAGGTTCCTGAGTTATGAACGTCCGACTTACGAACGAGGTTAAACTTGAAATTTACAGGATTTTATTTACCTAATGACTTATTTTTTTACTTTAATTTGCTGTATTTTGTCATTCTATTTCTTCTTTTGTCTTAAATTAAATGATTTTAGATGTATATAAGGACTTAGACTATGATATAGTGGGATTTTAAACATTGTTCTGTAAGTACAGTATGCACATAGCATGTGTTCTATACAAATCCAACTTTAGAACATCCTCAGGAACCCATTCATAACCCAGGAACTCCCTGTATATGTTATGAAATAGTTATTTTTCAGCTTTTAACTTGGGTTACATGTACATATACAAAATGTGGAAAAAAAAATCTCTAAGGTCAAAAACATATTCTTAGCTAGTGTACTGTATGAGTAATCTCCCTGTTAGCGGGAATCTCCAATATCCAAAATGAATTTGAGTCTTTTGGAAAAATTCGCTCTATTCCTGGCATGGGAACGAGATGTTGAGAATGAAATTGTGTGCATTTTCTGAAAATTTTCGAGAAAATCACTTCATTCAAGGCATGGGAACAAATTTCCGTGTCCCCACGTGCTGGGTGCTTGGGTGGGCTTGCCATTTGGGTAACTCGCGCTTAGTTCATACTGTATTCTGCTGCCATTGTATTGTACAAGGCTGTTTCCTGGTTTACTGCTATTTTTGCATACAATTTGTGTTGTGTAGTACTGTACCAGGACACAGTCAACCAAGAATAATGTTAAGATGTAAAAAATTATTACAGTTACATATACTGTACTGTACATATAGTAAGTGTGAAAGTACTGTACATAGCAGAGTGAACAGTGTATACCTTCTGTAGTTTAGTGTGTAAAGGTGTATGTACAGTTGCCTCAAAAAGTTCCTTTGCACCCCTGTGGTAATGTTTACGTTAATGTGGCAGCGTCACAATGCCAAATTTATGAATGAATGGGTAGTATTCTTGTAATGATAGAGCTGATTGGTGGACAAGTTATGGTGCTGGATGTCTGGAGACTGGGGTTGGGTTAAACTGTGAGGGCTACTCCACTGTTATATCAATCTTGTGATATTTCATGATGGTTCTGAGCACATTTGTGAAAATGATCCTCACTGCTACCATGACCACAGCACCTCACTCACACAACACTTCACAATACAGGCATGCCAGTGATACTGCTAAAAAACATTTATATTTAATGCCACTTACCATCTGTATACAGGGTATAATATGCTTATTGGTTCCCACAATTAAAATAGAACACATGAATTACACTGTATAACTATCTATTGACAGTCATATATTCAGGTGGTATGCTGTTATTCATAGAGTTGATCATATCAAAAGTATTCAATAGTTAGTAGTGATGGGATGTATTTTAGATCTGATATAATTTTATGTATTTTTATGTGTCAATAAGAACTGGCATTTTACACTCAATCAGTAAGACAGGGGTGGGCAATTATATTGATTGATGGGCCACTTCATGAATGGTGGCACACTTTGCGGGCCACAAACTTGATATACTTGTAGATGCAAATGCATAATATTTGCACAAAGTAAAGCCTTGTATTAATAATAATGCGAATACAAATACTAACACTGTATTAATACTACATTGTACCTGTAATAATACAGTGGTCCCTCGGTTAACGAGCACAATCCGTTCCAGCAGGTTGCTCGTTAACCGAAACCATTGTTTCAATGGGTTTTTGGGTAATTGGTTCCAGCTCACCGAAAATTGCCTAAATTCAACAAAAAAGGTAGAAAAGTTCACTTACTTTGAGGTGTGTATGTAGAAGGCTCCTGGATGATGATGATGATGGGAATTAGAATGGGGGTGGAGGAGAAGGGAGAAGAGAAGGCATTGGGGTGGAAGAGAAGTCACCCCTTGGCACCATTTCACCCATAAAATTTTAGTTCTCTTGGTGTAATTCAAGATTATTTTCTTTAAATCAACACTGCACTGCATTATATATTGTCAATATGTAAAATAAATTTCAAAATGACCAATAATTTGCTTGGAAACAAAGAAAAAAAGCATTCAGTTGAAGAGAGTCTCAAGCAAGATGTTACCTCCAGTGAAAACAGAGCGAGACTAACGCCTGTCTGGTGTGTTAACAGGCTGGATGGCACGCCAGAAAACTAGTTTCTTTACCTTCAATTATGTTCAATAATTGTTAAAATGAGTAGAAAAGTTAATATTAAACTTTTAAAATTATTGAATAGTATAAACTTCTTGATATTTTCTAAAATAGTAAGGAATTTAAGCCCTAAAATCGATTACTGTATTGGCGGACTAAAACTACAGCTGGTGGACCGCCAAATGAAAGCGAAAACATGTTTAAGTCGGCTCGTAAAAAACTCGTTAATCGAGGGATTGCTTGTTAACCGAAGTTAAGAATCTTATGGAAGGTAAATCGTTAACCGAGGCGCTTGTTAACCGAGGGATCACTGTATAGAGTTAAGGTGCAGTATAATTAGTACAGTAGTACCCCGATTTACGCGGTCAATTGAACCCACAGGGTACTGCGGAAAGTGAAATCCGTGTAAAGTGAACAACAGAACATATGGGATTAATTGAAATAGAGACTGGCCCGACCCCCAAACTCCACTTTTTGACGACACAAAACTATGTTGTAGTAAAAATATTATCTTAACTTTATGACGGTATGCACACACAATTAATATAGAAGAGGTTAGGTTAGGAAAAATAAAGGTTAAGTTAGGAAAAATAAAGGTTAGGTTAGGAAAACTATAGGTTGGGTGTAACACTTACGTTAGTAGAAGAGATGGGTCGGTATACGGGGATGGAGGCTGGTTCCGAGGCAGAAGGCAGATTCCTGGCCCTCAGGTGAATCACCATCACTATCAGTCATAGTTGTCAGGGCCTCCCTGACAAATCCCTCAAAGTCACTTTCACTGTCACTATCACTGGCTCTGACTGGCTGTGGTGGGTTGCGGGCGAAGAACTCGGTAATGCTTTTTTGATGGCTAGTGTTGATGTTGTCTTGATACGCCTTGATGTACAGCTCCATAGCCTGCACCAGACGGGTATGGAAGACTTCATA